CTTTCAATGCAAGCATAGAAGTGAATACATGATCAATAAGTGGCCATCCAATTACACATGCAATTAACCAATTCTTTAACAATCAACCATCAATCCAAAATGAACATGCAAGCACAAATATCAATCAACCCATGGCTTGGTTGGGTCTTCACCCAACCCCCAGCTAACTAACTACTCACTAAACATGGTAAAGAACATTCTAACAACAATATCTAAGTTCAAAATAAATCTAAAAAATTGAAGAGAGTAGTAAGAATAAAGTAGATTGTACATGCAACAATAATTAACCAAGATTAAGAGAGAAATATATAATTCAAAGAAATTAAAAAAAACAGAAAATAAAGAGTAAGAGATAGAGGAAAGAGATTACTAATGAAGCTTCAAGGTTGAGAAAATGTTGAAAGTGAGAATACAAACTTCAATGAATGTACTTCAATGATAGAGTTTGAGAGAAACTAATCTAATTAATAAGAGTTTAGAGAGCTAAGGGACTAAGGAGACTAAAGGGAAGAAGGTGATCTTCTCCAAGGAAGAAGATGTAGAAAACTGAAGCCAAGGGTCGTATTTATACACCCCAAAATCACATCGTAAAATCCGCCCAAAAAGTCGGGTATGCATGTAGGAGCGCCCGCTCCTACATAGAGGAGCGCCCGCTCCTCAGGCTGGAGCGCCCTCTCCTGGCTCTTGCGCGCCCTCTCCTCCTACAGAAATTTGAGGCAGTTTGTGGAAGATCATGGAGGAGCGCCCGCTCCTACTATGGTGCACGCCGTCTCCTAGCTGGGAATAAAGAGAGGCAGATTGTGGCGCTTGGGGTAGGAGCGCCCTCTCCTCAGGGGTTGCACGCCCTCTCCTCTTGTGCTTTGCTTCCAATATAGTTCTTCATGTTCATGCTATATAACCAATTTCTCCTTGCATCTACAAACAGGACCACACACATAAAAAGAATCGGGAAAGCCAAAAGTTGTAATCATACACAAAAAAGAAGTCGGAAAGGTGGAAAAGAGGGGAAAATGACAACAAAAATGTGTTAAAAATGCCATGATAAGTGGACAAATAAAACACTTATCATATTGTCCAATTTAATTCTTATATGTGTGTTGTACAGGATCAAACGAAGGAGTTGATTGGAACGGGATCTAGTAGAGACGGACTATACTATTTTAGCAATTTGGATTCGGTGAATCATGTTGATGTGGGCAAAGCAATGTCGACTTTGGAGTTGTGGCATCGTCGAATGGGTCATCCCTCCGAAAAAGTGGTTAAGTTACTTCCTCATGTCAGTGGCAATAAACATAATCTTTCTAAAGGGTGTGAGGTATGTATGCGTGTTAAACATCCTAGAGATAAATTTCCTTTGAGTGATGGTAGAGCTTCTAGGATTTTTGAAAAAATACATTGTGATATGTGGGGTCCGTATCGACATGTCTCTTCGTGTGGAGCTCGTTATTTTTTTACTATTGTTGATGATTATTCCCGAGCTGTTTGGATTTACTTGTTGGTTGATAAAACTGAGGATTTTCGAATGTTTTTAGCATTTGTTGCAATGGTTGATAGGCAATTTTCTCAAACCATGCCATTAAGGTGGTGCAAAGTGATAATGGCACTGAATTTAATTGCTTGCATAATTATTTTAGTGCTACTGGTATTATTTTTCAAACCTCTTGTGTGGGGACTCCACAACAGAATGGAAGGGTTGAGAGAAAACACAAACACATTATTGAAGTTGGGAGAGCTTTGAGGTTTCAAGCTAATTTGCCTATTTATTTTTTGGGGGGAATGTGTTCTTGCCGCCGCTCACCTAATTAATCGTACACCCACACCCTTGCTACAAAATAAAACTCCATTTGAAATTTTGTTCAATAAACCTCCCTTATTTGATGCACTTTGTACTTTTGGATGCTTATGCTTTGCTCATAATCAGAAAACTAAGGGAGACAAGTTTGCTAGTCGTAGTAGAAAGTGTGTGTTTGTGGGATATCCGTTTGGTAAAAAGGGGTGGAGGTTATTTGATTTGACTACAAAAGAATTTTTTGTCTCGAGGGATGTGAAATTTGTGGAAGAGGTTTTTCCTTTTGAGAGTCCAGAAGCTGTGAATATTTCCCATAATGAGTTTGATGCTCCAATAATTCATGAGGATTTTGTTGAATTGAGTTTGGAAGAAGACAATGGGGTTGGCGGCATTTTGGGTGAGCAACAAGCCTAATTCGTGGATAGCCCAAACCCAGCGGATCCGCAAATAGGGACATCTCACGCTGGGCCTTCAGCAGAGCAGCGCTCCAAAGCTGCTGACTTACCCTTTGAAAATCAAGCGCCCGTTGGGCCTTCACATGGGCAGCCCAATGATGCCACTGTCTGGACTAATGGAAATCCAGCGTCTGATGGGTTTTTGCAAGAGCTTCAACATCCCATTATCACTATTTTTTATCAGGATACTAATGAGCTAGCATCAAATGAGGCTTCTATTGAAGTCGGTTCTAATGACATTCAAATGGGTCTTGGTTTCCGGGAAAAAATTCCCAATGTTCGTCATCGTGATTATGTGACTCACTCAGTTTTTGCTAATAGTTCATCTCCGTCCACTCCGTCTCCAATCCCTCCTTCAGGTACGCCTTATCCTTTGGCACACTATATAAATTGTGATATGTTTTCTGTTAATTATCGCAAATTTCTTGCAGCCGTTGTTTTGGGAAAGGATCCAAAATCCTTTAAAGAAGCAATGAAATCCGAAGGTTGGCGACGTTCTATGAAGAAGAAATAAGGGCATTGGAAGATAATGGAACTTGGACATTAGAGTATCTTCCTCCCGGCAAGAAAGCTCTAGGTTGTCAATGGGTGTATAAGACGAAATTTTTGTCTAATGGTGATATTGAACGTCTCAAGTCTCGTTTTATTGTTTATGGTAATCATCAAAGAGAAGGCATTGATTATGGTGAGACCTTTGCTCCGGTTGCAAAAATGATTATTGTTCGCGCTTTTCTTGCTATAGCAGTTTCAAAAAACTGGGAGATTCAACAGATGGATGTTCATAATGCTTTCTTACATGGTGATCTTGAAGAAGAGGTATACATGAAATTACCTCCAGGTTTTGAGAGCTCAGATTCGAGTTTAGTGTGTCGTTTGAGAAAGTCTTTGTATGGGTTGAAACAAGCTCCGAGATGTTGGTTTGCCAAGCTCACTACAGCTTTGAAAGGGTACGGTTTTATTCAATCTTACTCTGATTATTCTCTTTTCACATACACTAAAGACAATGTTCAGATTAATGTCTTAGTTTATGTTGATGATCTTATTATTTCTGGGAATGATTCCGCTACATTAACTGTGTTTAAAGCTTATCTTGGTGTGTTTCAAGATGAAGGACCTTGGTCCTTTGAAATATTTTTTGGGCATTGAAGTTGCTCGTAGTAAATCTGATTTGTTTTTGTGTCAACGAAAGTACACCTTGGATATTGTTTCTGAAGCAGGGCTATTGGGTGCGAAACCAAGTGGTTTTTCGATTGAGCAGAACCACAAGCTTAGTCTTGCTAGTGGTGAGTTACTTGAGGATCCTGAGTCTTATCGTAGACTAGTAGGGCGGTTGATTTATCTCTCGGTGACTAGACCAGATTTGGCATATTCGGTTCATATTCTTTCTCAGTTTATGCACGAACCTCGGATTGAGCATTGGGAAGCATCTCTCAGGGTGGTTCGTTATTTAAAGGGTACTCCGGGACAGGGTATTTTGTTGAGTGCATATAGCTAGTGACCTGACTTTGCAGGGTTGGTGTGATTCAGATTGGGCGGTGTGTCCTCTTACTCGTCGTTCGTTGACTGGTTGGCTAGTTTTTCTTGGTAAATCTCCTATTTCATGGAAAACCAAGAAGCAACCCACGGTATCTTTCTCTTCTTCTGAGGCTGAGTATCGGTGCATGGCTTCAACCACACATGAGTTGAAATGGTTGAAGGCATTGCTTTTGAGTTCGGGTGTCCAACACCCTAAGGCGATCAAGTTGTTTTGTGATAATCAATCTGCTTTACATATAGCTCGAAATCCAGTTTTTCATGAACGTACAAAACACATTGAGATTGATTGTCACATTGTTCGTGATGCTATTACAGAGGGCTTAATTGCTCCTTCCTATGTTTCCACTAAGGAGCAACTTGCAGATATTTTCACTAAGGCGCTTGGAAGTCTCAATTTGATCATCTTCTTTCCAAGTTGGGCATTTACAATCCCCATGCTCAAACTTGAGGGGGGTATTGGAGGATATATTTTGGGAAATTATTAGGATATATTTAGTTTCCATATTTTATGCTTAGTATATATTTTTATGCCTAGCATAATATCTTTTTTGGGATATCTTTGATTATTTCCTAATTCTATTGGGTTTGGGAACGATGTATTATTTATTGGCCATGGCCATCATTATTGTAATTCAAGTGATTGAGTTTATTCAATTTATCATATTCTCATAAATATTTTAGCACTTTGACATTAGTCACGGCTCACGAATGTGCTGCCTTGGCCGCCTTAGCTAGTTACCTCTCTGGAGCTCGACCCCTAATATGCCTTGCCACTCAAGAGCTTTATGTAGTCGTATTTGTTTGAGATAAATGCACTATTTGTATGTACTGGACTGCTGGAGTTTGTTTTGCCTATTAGAAACCTCTTTTTATATAGGACAAGATAATATGACTAGGGGAGATCGTAATTAATTAAGCTGGTAAGTGGTAATTAAATTTGTTCTTTCTGTCTATAAATGTTGTTCATAAATCGTAGTAAGAACATCATATCATATAGAGATAGATAGAATAATAATGAAACATAATGTAACCAAGTAGCTAGGCATACATAATATAATATACTCGTACTAATTCAGATTATAATTTTGGAATTAATCAAACAGCAAATTGATGAATATATCTAGAAATTAATAAAATGAATACTACATTAATCTTTATTCAAGTGGAAACAATTCAGATCAAATGGAAACAAATGAACCTATAATATAGGCCGGGCTAAC